GGGGGGGGGGGGGGGGGGGGGGGTGAACCAACCCATTCACGTGCAGCTAACGGGTTGTACGACATGGGGACATATTTCCTATGCGAAACAGCTAGGAGTAGTAAGAATTGGTCAGGAACCTCTGGTTCCCCCAAGCTATAGAGGCCCTTCAGACAACTAGCAGTCTAAGAATACTCAAGGTACTTCTTCACCGCGATAATCTGTTAAGTTCTTAGGGGGAAGGTTATACCTAGACTGAGTGACTTGTCGCTCCTAACTACAAATCTTTAGGCTTATCAAAGTAATGGGTCATGGAAAATACAAAGTGTGCATGTAGCCATCAACTAACATCATCATACATAACTCATTCAAACAAGACAAGCATGCGTCACAGGACGATGGCCTCCATTAAGCACCCGAAATGCAGAGTCCGCGCTCAGGGGGTGACGTCATCCCTCGGGCGTCCGAAACGCAGAGTTCAAAATAATAAGATAAAGAACCACTACAAGGGGAGTAAGATTCGGATTACCTTGTTGATTGAATATCTCAAGGCAAGAGCATTGTTTGTGAGATTCGAATCACTTCACAAGCAAGATCGATCATGTCTAACTTGAATGATTCTTGTTGATCAAATATCTCAAGTCAAGAACACTTGCTTGAGATTCGAATCACTCCACAAGCAAGATTAATCATGTCGAGCTTGAATGATTCTACATGCAACCTAAACTACATAGAATTGCAAAGAAACTTAGTCATTGGCTAAAGAAGAGCACAAATGCTTCTTTTACTATATTTTCAAGTCTCTTACAAATACAACATACATGGCTTTATATAGCCTCAAAATGAAACTACTAAAGGCATTCCAAGAGTTGTAACATTCATACTTAATGGTCATAATTAACCATTATGTAATTGTAACCTAAAGTGAATAAAAAGTCGTAAAAACTCTAAATTACTCTAAATTGTAACCCACCCAAAATTTATAACAATCAAACTTCATTCTTCTTCAATGTGGCATGAATTGAAACATCTTTTGATAATTTTGACAACCTTTTCTTCACATCTTCATTGAAGTATATTGTATGATTGATGTTTTTTGGTTCATATCACAAAATTTTGACATGAATTAAACATATGCGTACGTATAGCAGAAGCTTAAAGCATACAAGCAACACCCAAATAATTCACCCAATACGCTCATAACAATCGATCTACTTAGTCTCATTCATGAAAAGCTAATCTAAGGTAAATGTACAAGGATGCATGCAATCCAAGCATCCCTAGGCTTATCATTTGGAAAGCTAATCTAAGGTAAATGTACTAAGATGCATGCAATCCATGCATCCCTAGGCTTATCATTAATAATGGTCATGGAAAACAACAGAGTGTGCATGTAACCGCCATCTAACATCATCACACATAATTTATGCAAATTAGATATGCAAACTCAACGGGGCGATGGCCTTCATCAGGCACCCGAAAAGAGGAGTTTGCGCTCAACGGGGCGATGTCATCCCTCAAGTGCCCGAAACTCGGAGTTCACCTATTCAACATGAATTAAACATATGCATTTGTATAGCGGAAGCTTAAAGCATACAAGAAACACCTAGATAATTCACCCAATACGCTCATAACAGTCAATCTACCTAGTTTCATTTATGGAAAGCTAATCTAAGGCAGATGTACTAGCATGCATGCAATCCAAGCGAATCCTACAAGTGTTTCTTCCTAAATACCAGATGGTGACTTACCTGGTTGACGTGTGCCCCTTCGCTAGTATTTTCATGCCTGTAAGGCATCCAAAATACTTATTTTTCCCAATTAGGTTCCTATTTGAATAAAAACATCGTTAGAATTGGAATCAGGGCAGAAATTGGGCAAACAGAAGTTGGACGGACGGAAAACAGAAACTCAAGCGTCGCCCGCACCCAGACGAAGTCTAGTCGTGGGTGTCACGCGCGGGTTGGATTCTGCAGTCGCGGTTCATTGGGCCAGTTTGACACGTGACTCGCCGAAAATTTTTCTCTCTCCTCCATCCTTGGAAATCGGCTCGGATCTTCGCCTTTGGACCATAATTTCTGCTAGTTTCCTTCATGAATTTTGTGGAGAATTTTCTTTAGATGAACGTATCAAAATTTCAGACCTTGATTCACAACGGAGAGTTCTAGATCTGAGAAATACGATCAAGATCTTACCTTGCCGATTTTCTCAATCCTTTGACGAAAAACGGGACTTTGAACGCCAACATCTTCTTCCTCCTTCCAAGAAGTCCTTGTCATTAGATCGTGGCTGGCGGTGACTTCCAGCTGTGGTCCGATGAGTTTTTGGATGGTTCTTTCTTTCTTCTCTCTAGGTTTTCTCTCAAACTCTCTCTTCCTCACTTTTACTCTTTTGTCACACAATTGCTAGGTTCCATTTGGACCCCTTTAGTGGCTAGAGGGAAAAATGACTTATTTTTCCCTAGTGACTAACTTTTTTTTTCCTCGGGTGCTATAAAATGACAACCAGCGATATTTGGAACAATTTTGAGAAACAGGAAGTGAACGTACTCGAGCATAGAAAAAACGCCAACTAAGGCCAACCAAGTAAGTGGCATTACCGTCAGTTTGGTTATAATTGTATGTTGAATGATGACACGTGCGAGTGCCCGTGGCTTCGCACGTGTCATATGTGTCACGGTCATGCTCGTCCAGGGCGTGTTGCCCATGGCCGCATGCCTATGGCAAGCCAAACCCTTGTCATGTCTTTTCATTCACAAAATTAAAAACACTAGAATGAAAAGACATGACAAGGGTTTGGCTTGCCATAGGCATGCGGCCATGGGCAACACGCCCTGGACGAGCATGACCGTGACAATATGCTCATATATGCAGACTGTTATGAAATGATATGTATATGATATGATACGAGAATGTTATGTTGCATTTGATGAATTGATATGTTTATGATATGATATGTTAAGATATTATATGTTGAAGGCATGTTCGGATTATGTTATGTGACTGTTATGATATATGATATGGGCATTGTTTCGTTCGCAAGCATGAAAATGTATGATTTGTCATATGTGCCACATGAATTATGTGATATTATTGAAATGGAAGTGACAAGTTGGCATAATGCACAACCCCTATCTGATACGAAGGAAGATGCTAGCGGGGTTGTAATATATGATAATGAAAAAGGACAAATGTTGGGACCTCATGCATTATTGTGTGTTCATGCATCAGGGGATACCCCTTCTTTTACGATTGTACGGATACGTAAACTACGAGGCAAGGAAACGATCATTATGTTTACTATAATGCTGCCATGACGGTTGCTATTCCTAATGGGTGTCCGGTATCAACAGCTACCAGAGAATGCTCACCCAACTAGAAAGAGGCCTAGGAGGTGTGTGAACCGACTAGTAGATCCATACTCGCACGTGTGAACCGTGTGTAGGAAATTAAGTACACATCTAATTGCCCGTTTAGGATAGCCGCCGTAGGAAAATAAACATATATGATAGGTCTCATTCATGAGTTGTATGTGTTTGCATTTAACTCCGATAGGGGTCGCTTACTTAGTATTTCTTAAAATACTTAAGTCAATGCTTCTCTTATTTTTCAGAAAGGCTTACGGTTGACAGTGACATTGCAACCTACAAGATTATGACACATATTTAGGATGGTTTTTCAATTTAAATTAGTAAACTATAAGTATTAGGTTAGTTTGCATTTTCATTTAGTAGTATAGGTTAGTGTAAGGAATTTTTACATTTTTCATAGAAAATGTAGGATCTGTACACCATAATCTATTTTTAGATTCATATTATAATAATCTAATTTTTTATATTTTTAAATGTCTATATAAAATCTTGTAGGTTCTTCTCACTTCTTAACTTCAATTTATTTCACTTTCTATTTCTCTCGTTTCTTAAATACTTTTATTTCATTCTTAAATGCTTTTATTTTCTTAAATACTTTTATTTCATTCTTAAATACTTTTATTTCATTCTTAAATTTTTGGAGGTCTCATAGGTAAATTCACATCATTTAATATTTCAAAAATACATAAACTAAAGGAAGAAATATCTTATAATTACATCTAAACTATTAAAATATGAGACATCGTGAGATTGGGAACTTGTCTCAACTACAAGAATCCCACATTGACAGTTTTGATATTATATGTAGCTTTATAAGTTGGTTGACGACACCATTGAACATCGAGCTTAATAATGTGAGCTTGTAACCCATATGGGGTGCAATAAAGTGATTGGAGGTTGGCTTGGCCCATTAGTAAGGGTTCTTGGAGTTATACTCTGAGCCCGTCCATTTCAAGTATGGAGTTGGGTCATGGGCTTTAGGTCATGGTCCTAACTTTAGAGTTGAAGGAATTTGTGTAAGGTGGTTTGACAAAGCAACGCTATTATTCGCTCCTAACAATGGAAGGATAACAGACAACAAGATCCATAACATGTAAACATCTCATGGCCTACCATGTCCCTAGGTTAAGGTTTTTGAGTGATGTATTATGTGAAGCTAGAAATATAATGTGCATGACTAGAATAGCATGATGTATGAATTATGTTTTATATGCTTTCCGTTGTGTTAGAAAGGAAGATCGACTATGTTTTATATGCTTTCCGTTGTGTTAGAAAGGAAGATCGACTATTGTGATCTGTGCTCCACGTGATTGATGGATGTTATAGCTCGTTTATCTGCACAGAGCTAGGGCATTAAAGTTAGGTTGGCTAGAGATGACCTAGGTCGAGACAGTTCTAGTAGACTGAGCAGGATCGTGAGCGACGATTAGAGAGTTTATACCCTAGTGCTTCCCGACTAAGAAAGACTCAAGGAGTTTGAATAGAGAAATTTGGAGTATAAAGTTCGCGTTAGGCCACCTAGTCGGCCTAGGAATCCAATAGACCTCCTCGGTTCTTAGATATAACTAAGGTTAAGTTTGAATTGTGGATTACATGCTTAGGTGATGAATAAGAATATTTCTCTAGTAAATCATACATGAGAGAGCTTAGTTCAGATTATGGCGCTATAACTAGTGCACTTTACATGTTGACCCTAATAGACCTTGCACCCTAGGATCGTGAGCCATCAGAGGTTTAAACTTGTGTGCACCCAGAGATTGGTTTGGCCCGAGGATCTAACCCCGAACATTCTTAAAATGAGATACGAAACTGAAAAATTGGGTCGGGATAAACCCAAAAGTTTAGGTTAGTTTGAGTTGGGTTGTCAAATTGTTAATAAAAAATTTAAAAACTTTTCAATTGTGAAACAACTGAATAGATAGTGTAAAACAAGGAACCAAATGTATTAACATATCAAAGGGAAGTACAACACACTTATAAGCAAATTGTAACTAATAGTAATAGGCGCAACCAACATTAGTATTAGTGTTTGAAAATAAAACTTATTTGCCATCTTCAATGCACCACCTAATGTGCCCCGTCCAACATAGAGATGGCCATTTTAATTCAATGTGAATTTATGAACATGGTAATTAAATAGGCTATACAAATGTTTTAACTGTAACCGTCTAAGCCCGTAAGTAAATATTGTTATTTTTGAGTTTTTTCTTTCGAGCTTTCCCGTAAAGTTTTCAAAACGCGTCAAGAGAGGTTTCCATATCCTTATAAAAGATGTTTCTTTCTCCTTCTCAACTGATATGGGATCTTACAATCCACTCCCTTTCAGGGCCCCAGCATCCTCGGTAGCATTCGTTCCCCTCTCCAATCGATGTGGGACCCCCAATCCACCTCCCTTCGGGGTCCAGCGTCCTTGCTGGCACACCGTCTCGTGTCCACCCCGGATACCTAGCTCTTATATAATTTGTAATAGTTCAAGCCCACCCTCCGCTAGTAGATTTTGTCCTCTTCGGGGCTTTCCTTTACGAGCTTTCCCACAAAAATTTTAAAACACGTTTGCTAGGGAAATGTTTCTACACCCATATAAAGAATGTTTCGTTCTCTTTCCCCACCGACATGAGATCTCACAGATACTCAGGTGCATCCTTGGTAAGCCATTAAGAAAAGAACTTACAAACACTTTGGTTAAAAGATGATCAACAAGTCAAATTATATAGGAGAAATGGGAATACTAAAAAAGTAGAAATAACCGGCGTTTGCATGAGTGTTTGTTGCCAACAAAGTTGGCTTGCCCAACTCAGAAAATAAGGCTTCTTTGCAGCCGAGCTTATTTATAACTGACAATATAAACCAAATAAATTAATCAAAATGAGACCAAATAGAATGAAAAGGTTAAGACATGGTTTCACCCTTAATCTTTCACATAATCATAAGTCAAGAAAGAAAGGATGAGTGGTTTAAGTATGCAACCATCATAGGTCTACCTATGTTATGCTAAACTAGATAGCACTATGTAAGCCAATAGTGGAAGGGAAGAAATTTGTTGACTAAGAACGCATGACAAACAAACACCGCAAGACATCCAAGGATGTGCCTTTCTCTCAACAAACCGACTATGACAATATACGCATCTAAAAAGAACTTTCGTGCTCAAAAGTACTTAAACTTATAATAATTTGTGTCTCGTCTATCTGTGGGTTCATAATCTCTAGCATGCTCGGGTATTATGCATTGAAGAGAGGAAAAGTGATAAGGCTAATCTGTATGCCACCGGTTCAATCTCAGAATGTCGAAGAGTTTGACGACGCATGGGCTCAACTTGCCATTTTTTCTAAACGTTAGAACGTCTTTCATTGGAGCCTTCTTCCTTACTTCATGTTGGTGTAACTCTTTTGTCTACTCTAAGCTTTCTTTGATCTTTTGCACGACCTCATTGGTTACTTGGACCAACTTTAATCCCAATAATTTGTGTTCACCTACCTTATCCCAACTTTAGTCCCAATAATTTGTGTTCACCTACCTTATCCCAGCATACTAAAGCCACCGTTGTTAAATGTGATTGCAAGTGATTTTCATAAGGTGTAACCTGGAATCCAAACTATTAATGAAACTAAGGTCTTACTACTATTGATGTTGACATCACATAGTGTAATGGCCCAGATCCACCGCAAACAGATATTGTCATCTTTGAGCTTTCCCTTTCGGGCTTCCCCTCAAGGCTTTAAAATGCATCTGCTAAGGGAAGGTTTCCACACCCTTATAAATGGTGGTATGTTCTCCTCCTCAACCAATGTAGGACATCACAATACCCCCTTTAAAACTTGGCTCTGATACCAACTGTAACGATCCTAAATTTTACCTATTTAATCTAAGGTCATTACTATACCTTGAAATGCGGAATTTACATTTGGGCTCTTACCATAAATGCGCCTTACGCTGGCCTTTTATTGCCTCACGATGCAAACGGGAATTCAACCTAAACTAACTTATACTACAAAATGAAAAACAACTATCTTATGCATGTGCCACGGTCCCGGGGTGTGTGATGCCGCCGTCGATCTCACATGGGTGTCTTGCCTTTATCTGAAAAGTATAGTAGCACGAGGCTTGAGTATTTCTAGGATACTCAGTAAGTGACCCCCTATCGAGGTCATGCAACAATCACATGCAATGAGATGATGAGATCTATCTTTCAATCTTTCTTCCTACGGTGCCGTTCTAACGGGTAAATTTGGACGTGTACCATATACTTTACACACAGCCCATACGTGCGAGTATGGGCTCATCAGCTAGTTCGCACACTGCTGGGCCACTTTCCTTGTCGGGCGAGCATACTCTGGGAGCTTCTTAGGCAGGACACTTGTTAGAACTAGTAACCGTCATGGCAGCGCTATGCAAAACATAACGATTGTTGTCTTGCCATTGGATGTACGCGTCCGTACCCTCGTGATGGAATAGGGGTATCCCCCAAATGCATGAGCACACATAATGCATGAGGTCCCCAATATTTCTACTTTTATCATTAATGAATATAACCCCACTATCATCTTTCATGCTTAACATGTCATTTCTCACTTTCAGTCTACGTATCATACATATTCCTAACGGGGTTATATTTCACGCAATTTACTGTATTTCATGTCATACATTTCATGCATTCTACATTCACATATCTCATACAATCATGCATAATCATTTAAGAATCACATAAACGTCATAAGCACTACATATCACATCATTCTAAACAGCATACATTTACGTTCACAAGATTACATAAGCACAATAGTCTAGCATACAATTTAAGTACACGTGCGAATCCACGGATACATGCCAACATACATCAAACAATACGTAACCTACGACGGGTGAGCCACATACTTGGTAGGCCTTAGCCGAAGTACTCCCTAAGCTCCTAGCTCCTCGTATACGTCCTACGCTTCCGTTGGTGGTTGGTTCCTATTGGATCATTCGACACCCTCTTTAGTATTTCACAGACATAATTAATTTCCTAACTTTAATTTGTGAAATACGACCTTAAAATTATCTATTTTACCTTAAACAGGGTCGAAAGTAGGTCCGGGAGGGTCGGAATGGTGACAAACAGGTCGAAAATGTTGGGTTTTATGTCTTAAAACTCATAGTTAGTAAACAAAGACATATTCTATTTTCAATAAAGTTATTATTGACGTTTATTCCGTAAAAATTGTTATTGAATAAAGTGAACTTTAAAATCATTAATCTAAATCCAATAAACTAAGAACACTCTGGCTATAGTATGATTACTTGAACTATATGTAGAAACATAAAAGTGGATCAAGTTCAAGTATATAGTCAAAATGATCTATAGTATAAGTATAAGGCTGAGTACCTTATTCTAGGGACACTATGGATGCGGCCCACTTTTGTATATGATATAAACAATGTGATCACTAAATTGTACATGTGAAGACATGAGAGTGGGGGCGTCCTATGCAATGAGTATTGCATAAGATCGAACCATGAAGAAAATCACTCTCTCTTTATAATGTCGTTTACTGTTGAGACTGATTTTCTTTTCATTCGATGACCTAGGTAACTCGATCTTAATCCTGAGCTAACCATGAACTCCTGTTCATTCGAAATTATCCTTAGATTTGCATGGATGAGAGTGACTCGAGTTCGCCGACTCAATAGGCCTCCGATTTCAAGGGTAAGACTGGGTGAATAGCTGGGGACGTGGGGTGCAAGATAGAATTCGCTCCTACCCACTTTTAGGGATAGAAGAGAGGTAGTTCCCTTAAGTACTGACTCCAGGTCTTGAACAAAGGGCCCCACCCACTCATTGGCCTGACTGAGATTTTGTTTACTGGTTGGACCACAAACCAAATGTTCATAAGAGGATCAGTGGGACATAAGGAACAAAAAGTAACTTCAGGGGTAAAACGGCTAATTGACCCAACTCTAGTTACGAACAACCTGTGAAGGATTGACTTACTAATCATGGTTATATCAAATGGACAGAAATATATCTATAGTGAGGAGAGTGCAACTACTAGGCTATAGTGGAGTGTCCTAGTAGTTAACGAATGTTGGTTAACAAGGTTAATGAGTTTAACTAGTTAATCTTGGATCGTTGGAGCCCATGATCTATAGGTCCATTAGGTCCCTCTGCTAGCTCATATCGGACTAAACCATAGAACAGTGTGACGAGTGAGTTCGAAGTGTTCGAATTCAAATTAGGGAATATGAGCTACATATATACGATATATTTAACTGCATTTTTGTTTTATTTACGAATAAAACAAAAAGAGAGAATTTGAGATAATAAGATTTAAATATCTTAATCAATTATGTGTCGGAATTGATTGAGATTGACATTTGAATTAATATTAAATATTAATTAAATAGTTTAATGAATCATTTAATGTTACTTTAATTTGAAATTAATTATTCAAATTAATTGTTGAATTAAAATGAATAAAGTCAAAATGTTGACTTCATTTAATGGAAAAATCTATGTTAGTGGAATTTTGAGGTGTCAAAATTTTGTTTAACCAAACTTGCATGCTTGCCAAATAAACCCCACAAGTTTGAGTAGAATTTTGAGTGTCAAAATTTGGTTAACTCAAACATGCATGTTTGCCACTTAATCCCAAACATTTGAGTGAAATTTTGAGTATCAAAATTTGGTCATGTTTGCATTCTTTAAATAGAGTGATCATGGTACATGGAAGGCCTTCTTCCTTGAAAAAGACCTTGAGAAAATTCTCATAATCTCTCTCTTCATATATACTAAATCCCTCCCAAGTTTAGTCACTCACCGGATTCCACAATCCCGTTCTAAGGCCAGAGGATAGTGGAGAAGACACTAGTGGTGGTTCGAAACCGGTTCGTGAGGAAAAAGGAATTTGAACTACAAAAGGTTAGTATTCAAATTCATTAAGTTTTAATACTTATGAACATGCTAGTTATTTACTATAATTGATGTTCTAAAAGTGCCTAAGATCCAAATTGCTTCCACATGTGTTATATTAACACCATCAGAAAACAGGTTTTCCGAGCCGAGCCGAATAAGCCGTTGAAGCCGAGGGGTGTCGCGCTGTAGACGTGCCACATGGCACAACCAGAGGGCAACATGTGTGCATCGATCTTGGGTCGAGCGCTCGGGTTTTCGGTTGTAGTCGCGGGTCTAGGTTGATCGTGAGTGATGGGCCAGCCTGGACTGAAAGGAAACGTCTGTAGGTGGGCTAGGCCGTGAGCGTCGGGTGTTGGATTGGGCTTGCGACTCTCGGGTTGGCTGGGTTTTTGCTCTCGGGTCATGGTTGACGGTTTAGGTCGAAATTGGGCTTTTTGGTTTGGGTTGAGGCGACTGGGCCGCGGGAGTGTCTTTGGTCGAGGTTTGGACTGGAGTGGGTCCGGTTCGGGTCGTGGGAGTTCGGCCCTCAGGTTGGACTTCGTCTTCTACACCCAGTTACCTGAAGTTTTCCGGCGACCTCTCTCTCACCTCGGTAACGTCGTTTCGACGTCCTTTTTCCCTCTTTTTTTCTCCGTTTCTGATTCTCCTTCTCCCCCTAATTCCATTTTTGGTATTTGTTTGGTTCGTAAAGGCCTAACACTCCCGGATCTAAGAGGGTTTAGAAAACCGACGTTCTGTCTCCCTTGCTCGACGGTGTACAACGAGTAAGACTCGTCTAAATCTACCCCTGGTGTGTGAAAAAGTTTCTGGGATTACTTTCGTTGCGTAAAACGGAGGTTTCGACGTCGATTCCGTAGGTTTTGGCTTTGCCGGAGCTTCGTCGGATTTTCTTACTGTTTTTCTCGTTTTCTCACTATTCTTCCTCTCTGTAGGTGTCTTGGAGGTGGCTGAAGGTCGGGTTTGGTTTCCGTGGTGACCCCGACGTCGGGCGGCCTTTGTGGGTCGTGTGCGAACGAAAACTCTAGCATTCGCCGGAGTTTTCGGTCCTGCCGACGACTGTTTTTTTTTATCTGATCCATTACATTATCTACCCCTAAAAAGAACTTGCATCCTTGAAAGTCTCGAACTCCTGGATCAATTCGGGATATTTTTCCTTTATTTCCTCCTCTCGTTCCCACGTCGCTTCCTCGATTTGGTGGTTTTGCCACAATACCTTGACGAAACCTATGTTTCTATTACGTAAGGCTTTCACTTCTCAGGCTAAGATTTTAATCGGTTTCTCCTGTTCAAGGGGTTTGTAGTCTATCACATGCGTAGGGTCTGTAATATATTTCCTTAACATGGACACATGAAATACATCGTGTACGCTCGAGAGTGAAGATGGTAAGGCTAGTTTGTATGCTATTGAACCTATTCTTTCTAGAATTTCGAGCGGTCCAATAAATCGGGGGCTTAGCTTCCCCTTACGTCCGAATCTTAGAACGCCTTTCATAGAAGCTACTTTTAGGAACACTGGGTCCCCCTCTTCGAACTCTAAGTTCCTACGCCTAACGTCAATGTAGCTCTTTTGCCTACTTTATGCGGTGCGCATCTTTGCTCTAATTTTCTGTACTGTTTCATTGGTGATGCGGACCAGCTTGGGTCCTACCAGCTCTCGTTCTCCTACTTCGTCCCAGCACAATAGGGATTTACACTATTTTCCATATAACGCTTCAAACGGTGCCATCCCGATGGTTGCTTGGAAACTGTTGTTGTACGAGAATTCCATTAAGTGTAGTTTAGTGTCCCAACTCCCTGTGAAATCCATAACACATACCCGAAGCATGTCTTCCAGGATTTGGTTTAATCATTATGTTTGGCCATTAGTTTGTGGGTGGAAGGCGGTGCTAAAGTCGAGGCGGGTACCCAACGCTTTTTGGAGTCCGCGCCAAAAGGCCAACGTAAAACACGGGTCTCGATCCGACACTATAGACATCGAGACTCCATGAAACCTCACAATTTCTTTCACATACAGTTGAGCCCAGTTGTCTACTGTATATGTTGCCTTACCCAGTAGGAAATGTGCCGACTTTGTCAAGTGATTGACAATTACCCAAATGACCGTATAACCCTTCAGTGTCTTGGGTAGGCCTACTATGAAATCCATAGCAATATTTTCCCATTTCCATTCCAGTATAGTTAGAGGTTGTAGCAGTCCGTTGGTTTTCTGCCTAGGGGCTTTTACTTGTTGGCACACCAGACATTTACTCACGTATTCCACGATATCCTTTTTCATACTTCGCCACCAGAAGTGTTGTTTCAAGTCTTGATACATCTTTGTTCCACTTGGATGTATTGAGAAGGGTGAGTTGTGTGCTTTAGTTAAGATTTCGTTCTTTATTTCGCTCATCGGTGGGACACATAAACGTCCATCATCTGTTGACTTAGAAAAACCGTCCACTGGGCCTACTTTCAACTGGTCTAGGATTTTGTTTAGGCTTGGATCCTTACGTTATGAGTCTATGATCCTCTGTCTGAGCGTGGGACGCACTGTCAGTCGGGCTATTTGGGCTACAACCTTCTTGGTTAATACTGCTATGTCAACTCGTTCGAAATCAGCTCGCACTCGTGACTCCCTTGTGATGAGGGCCGATGAGTATACTGCTTTTCGACTTAGTGCGTCAGCGACTACGTTTGCTTTTCCACAGTGGTACTAGATATCTTTTCTATGTCGTATCTTTTACCAGCTCTAGCCATCTACGTTGTCTCATGTTCAATTCTTTTTGTGTGAACAAGTAGATTAGGCTTTTATGGTCCGTGTAAATTTGGGTATTTTCGCCATACAAGTAGTGTCACCAAATTTTTAACGTGAACACCACCGCCGCCAACTCCAGATCATGTGTAGGATAGTTTTTCTCATAATCCTTTAATTGGTGTGATGCATACGCAATAACCTTGCCATGTTGCATCAGTACACAACCCAACCCCTTTTTGGATGCATCACTGTAAATCACGTAACCCATAGAGCTTTTCTGGAACCGTGAGCACTGGGGCGGACCCTAGTCTTTGTTTTAGTTCTTGAAAGTTTGCCTCACAAGTATCATTCCATACGAAAGGTACGCCTTTTTTTGTCAATTGGGTGAGAGGCGAGGCTATTCTAGCAAAGTCTTGGACAAACCTTCGATAGTAACCCGCCAATCCCAAGAAACTTCGTGTCTCGGTGACCGTAGTTGGGCGTTTCCATTTTGTGACGGATTCTATCTTGGTGGGATCTACTAAAATTTTGTCTTTAGACACTACGTTTCCCAAGAACGAAACCTATCATAGCCAAAATTCGCACTTGGAGAATTTGACATACAACTTGTTCTCCCTTAAGATAGTTAGGGCTTTGCAGAGGTGCTCTTGGTGTTCTAGGTCCGTTTTCGAGTATATTAGGTGTCGTCTATGAACACGATCACAAACGAGTCTAAGCACTCCTTAAATACTTGGTTCATTAATTCCATGAAAACCGCTGGGACGTTGGTGAGGCCAAAGGACATTACCATAAAATCATAGTGGCCATATCTAGTTCGAAAGGTTGTTTTTTGTATATCTTCATTTTTAATCTTAATTTGATGGTATCCTGATTGAAGGTCTATTTTGGAAAACACTGTTGCCTCTTGAAGTTGGTCAAATAGGTCCTCGATGTGGGGTAATGGGTATTTGTTCTTCATCGTCCTCTTGTTTTAATTCTCTATAGTCAATGCATAGACGCATAGAGTTATCTTTCTTTTTGACAAACAACACTAGTGCACCCCAAGGGGACACGCTAGGTCGAATGAAGCCTTTATCTAATAGGTTTTGTAGATGTTATTTAAGTTCTTTTAGTTCTGTTGGGGCCATGCGGTATGGGGCTTTAGAGATGGGTCCCGTTCCTGATTCTAGTTCTATTCCAAAGTCTACCGCTCGCTATGGAGGGACTCTGGGGAGGTCCTCTGGGAAGACATTCATGAAATCGTTTACTATGGGCACCGTATCTATTGGTTTCTCCTTTCCTTTTGTGTTCACTGCATAGGCTAAAATCGCCCACCCCCTTTTTGTTGTACCAGGCGTCTCGCTTTCATCATTGATATTATTTTTGGGATGGTACCTGTGAAGGTTCCTTTAAACTTAAAGGTAAGTCCGTTTGAAGGTGTGAATACCACTTCTTTCTTATGGCCGTCTATGCTAGCAAAGTTTTCGGCTAGCCAGTCCATTCCTAGTATGATGTCAAAATCCATCATATCTACTACTTTTAGGTCTACATGGATGGTTCGTCCAGCTATTACCACTCGTCCGTCTTTTACTCTATTTTTTGTGACTAGGTCTACCCCAGACCGACAATACATGCATTAAGGGTTCTACTATGAACTCTGCTTGTATAACAAATGGTAAAGAAACAAACGAATGGGTGGAACCCGAATCAAACAATGTCAATGGAAAGTGTCCTAGTATAGAAAGCGTACCTGTCACCACGGTGCCAGACGTTCCCGCCTTTTTACTGGTCGTTGCATATGCTTGGGTCTGTGGGCAGGTTTGTATGGTGAGTTCTCGAATGACCGGTCCTCTAAGGGGTTCCCTTGGGTTTCTCGTGCCCTTTGCAGGGCAAGCTCTGGCCAGGTGACCTGCACGACCGCAAATATAACACATACCGAAGCCTGTCAAACATCTACAACCATGTTGTTTTCAACCGTCGCGGCACAGGGGTTTCTCTGGTACTAGGTATCGGGCTATTAGGGGTGGAGCAGGTGGCCTATTCTGATGTCGAGGTCTCTGGAGCGATGGTTGGAATTCTATGGGTCCGACCTCGGCAGGGCGTTTCTTTCCTATGACAACCATTGGCTCTGGGTTTTTCTCCTCCGGAGGTTCCTCCAGGGCCTTGGCCGTCCTCAGGGCCTCTTCATAAGTTTTCGGGTTAAAGGCCTCCAAC